GCCAGCGGGTGCTCTCAGCAGCCAGAATCTCACTCCTGCAATCAGGCCATCACCTGAGGCTGATTGCAGGAGGTGTATTTAAGCAGGACCAGGCCTGTGATCAGGGCCTTGGTGTATGTTTCCCATGAACCCCTGTACCTGCATCCTGTCTGCTTCCTGCCTGATCCTGCTTGATCCTGACTAGAGATGAGCGAATCGAAGTATCCGAAGTGGAATTCGAGTCGAATATCGGAAAAATTTCGATTCGTGTCGAATCCGAAAAATAGCCTAATTCGGACGCGCGAATCGAAATTTTTCAGAAAATGGCGGCTGACATGTGCGGCGACGGAGCGGGGATGTCTGGCAAGGCGCGCAGACAAGGCGCGCTGACCCATAATGCATTCCTCAACTACATGTGATCGCATCAGCCAATCAGCAGCCAGCCAGCCAGCACTGTGTAATGGTCGAGCTATAAATAGCGGCCATTTTGGAATTCTTCATTTGCCTGCAGTTATTGAACAGAGGCAGACCGCTCTGTACTAGGGACAGGGACAGAGTTAGGGCCACAGAAACGATAATTGGGGACAGAGAAAAGTTACTTAGGGACAGAGAACCATTACTCAGGGACACAGACTTGTTAATGAGGGCCACAGAATCGTTATTTAGGGACAAAGAAACGCTAGTTAGGGCCACAGAATTCATAATCAGGGACAGACAGAATTGTTACTCAGTGCCAGAGAATTGTTACTTAGGGCCACAGAAACGTTATTAGGGCCACAGAATTTTTACTCAGGGACAGACAGAATTGTTACTGAGTGCCAGAGAATTGTTACTCAGGGACAGACAGAATGTTGTTACTGAGTGCCAGAGAATTGTTACTGAGTGCCACAGAATTGTTACTTAGGGCCACAGAAACTTTAATTAGGGCCACAGAATTTTTACTCAGGGGACAGACAGAATTGTTAGAAATTGTTACTGAGTGCCAGAGAATTGTTACTCAGGGACAGACAGAATTGTTACTGACAGAATTGTTACTCAGGGACAGACAGAATTGTTACTGAGTGCCAGAGAATTGTTACTTAGGGCCACAGAAACTTTACTTAGGGCCACAGAATTTTTACTCAGGGACAGACAGAATTGTTACTGAGTGCCAGAGAATTGTTACTCAGGGACAGACAGAATTGTTACTGAGTGCCAGAGAATTGTTACTCAGGGCCCCAGAAACTTTACTTAGGGCCACAGAATTTTTACTCAGGGACAGACAGAATTGTTACTGAGTGCCAGAGAATTGTTACTCAGGGACAGACAGAATTGTTACTGAGTGCCAGAGAATTGTTACTTAGGGGCCACAGAAACTTTACTTAGGGCCACAGAATTGTTTACTCGCACAGACACAGAATTGTTACTCGCACAGACACAGAATTGTTACTGAAGGCCACAGAACTGTTACTTAGGGCCACAGAATTGTTACTCGCACAGACACAGAATTGTTACTCGCACAGACACAGAACTGTTACTGAGGGCCACAGAACTGTTACTTAGGGCCACAGAATTGTTACTCGCACAGACACAGAATTGTTACTCAGGGCCACAGAACTGTTACTTAGGGACAAAGAAACGCTAGTTAGGGCCACAGAATTCATACTCAGGGACAGACAGAATTGTTACGGAGTGCCAGAGAATTGTTACTCAGGGCCACAGAAACTTTACTTAGGGCCACAGAATTTTTACTCAGGGACAGACAGAATTGTTACTGAGTGCCAGAGAATTGTTACTCAGGGACAGACAGAATTGTTACGGAGTGCCAGAGAATTGTTACTCAGGGCCACAGAAACTTTACTTAGGGCCACAGAATTTTTACTCAGGGACAGACAGAATTGTTACTGAGTGCCAGAGAATTGTTACTCAGGGACAGACAGAATTGTTACTGAGTGCCAGAGAATTGTTACTTAGGGCCACAGAAACTTTACTTAGGGCCACAGAATTGTTACTCGCACAGACACAGAATTGTTACTCGCACAGACACAGAATTGTTTACTGAGGCCACAGAACTTTACTTAGGGCCACAGAATTGTTACTCGCACAGACACAGAATTGTTACTCGCACAGACACAGAACTGTTACTGAGGGCCACAGAACTGTTACTTAGGGCCACAGAATTGTTACTTACTCGCACAGACACAGAATTGTTACTCAGGGCCACAGAACTGTTACTTAGGGACAAAGAAACGCTAGTTAGGGCCACAGAATTCATACTCAGGGACAGACAGAATTGTTACGGAGTGCCAGAGAATTGTTACTCAGGGCCACAGAAACTTTACTTAGGGCCACAGAATTTTTACTCAGGGACAGACAGAATTGTTACTGAGTGCCAGAGAATTGTTACTCAGGGACAGACAGAATTGTTACGGAGTGCCAGAGAATTGTTACTCAGGGACACAGAATTGTTACCAGGGCCAGAAACTTTACTTAGGGCCACAGAATTTTTACTCAGGGACAGACAGAATTGTTTACTGAGTGCCAGAGAATTGTTACTCAGGGACCACAGAATTGTTACTTAGGGCCACAGAATTTTACTCAGGGACAGACAGAATTGTTACTGAGTGCCAGAGAATTGTTACTCAGGGACAGACAGAATTGTTACTGAGTGCCAGAGAATTGTTACTTAGGGCCACAGAAACTTTACTTAGGGCCACAGAATTGTTACTCGCACAGACACAGAATTGTTACTCAGACACAGAATTGTTACTGAGGGCCACAGAACTGTTACTTAGGCCACAGAATTGTTACTCGCACACAGACACAGAATTGTTACTGACGCACAGACACAGAACTGTTACTGAGGGCCACAGAACTGTTACTTAGGGCCACAGAATTGTTACTCAGGCACACACAGAATTGTTACTCAGGGCCACAGAATTGTTACTCAGGGACAGACAGAAATTGTTAGGGCCACAGAGAATTGTTACTCAGGGACAGACAGAATTGTTACGGAGTGCCAGAGAATTGTTACTCATGGAGGCCACAGGGCCTTTACAGACAGCCACAAATTGTTACTTACTTAGGGCCACAGAATTGTTACTCAGGGACAGACAGAATTGTTACTGAGTGCCAGAGAATTGTTACTCAGGGCCACAGACAAATTGTTACTGAGTGCCAGAGAATTGTTACTAGGGCCACAGAAACTGTTACTTAGGGCCACAGAATTGTTTACTCAGGGACAGACACAGAATTGTTACTCAGGTGCCACAGAATTGTTACTGAGGGCCACAGACAACTTTTACTTAGGGCCACAGACACAGAATTGTTACTCGCACAGACACAGAATTGTTACTCGTGACAGACACAGAATTGTTACTGAGGGCCACAGAACAGAATTGTTACTTAGGGCCACAGAATTGTTACTCAGGACAGACACAGAATTGTTACTGAGTGCCACAGAATTGTTACTCAGGGACACACAGAAACTTTACTTAGGGACAAAGTGCCACAGAATTGTTACTCAGGGACAGCCACAGAATTGTTACTCAGGCCAGACAGAATTGTTACGGAGTGCCAGACAGAATTGTTACTCAGGGCCACAGAAATTGTTACTTAGGGCCACAGTTATTAGGGCCACACAGAATTGTTACTCAGGGACAGACAGAATTGTTACTGAGTGCCAGAGAATTGTTACTTAGGGCCACAGAAACTTTAGTTAGGGCCACAGAATTGTTACTACTCAGGGACAGACACAGAATTGTTTACTGAGGGCCACAGAAACTGTTACTTAGGGCCACAGAATTGTTACTCACACAGACACAGAATTGTTACTGAGGACACACAGAACTTGTTACTTAGGGCCACAGAATTGTTACTACTCGCACAGACACAGAATTGTTACACAGGGACACAGAACTGTTACTGAGGGGCCACAGAACCGTTACTTAGGGCCACAGAATTGTTACTCGCACAGACACAGAATTGTTACTCGCACAGACACAGAATTGTTACTCGCACAGACACAGAATTGTTACTGAGGGCCACAGAACTGTTACTTGGGGCCACAGAAACGTTAATCAGGGACACAGAATTGTTACTGAGGGCCACAGAACTGTTACTTAGGGCCACAGATTGTTACTCTCGCACAGACACAGAATTGTTACACAGGGACACAGAACTGTTACTGAGGGCCACAGAACCGTTTACTTAGGGCCACAGAATTGTTACTCGCACAGACAGAATTGTTACTCGCACAGACACAGAATTGTTACTCGCACAGACACAGAATTGTTACTCAGGGACACAGAACTGTTACTGAGGGCCACAGAACTGTTACGACTTAGGGCCCACAGAATTGTTACTCGCACAGACACAGAAATTCTTACTCGCACAGACACAGAATTGTTACTCAGGGAAACAGAACTGTGTTACTGAGGGCCACAGAACTGTTACTTAGGGCCACAGAATTGTTTCTCGCACAGACACAGAATTGTTACTCGCACAGACACAGAATTGTTACTGAGGGCCACAGAACTGTTACTTGGGGCCACAGAAACGTTAATCAGGGACACAGAATTGTTACTGAGGGCCACAGAACTGTTACTTAGGGCCACAGAATTGTTACTCGCACAGACACAGAATTGTTACTCAGGGACACAGAATTGTTACTCAGGGACACATAATCGTTTAATTAAAGAGTATGTCAGACAACATGCAGAGGAGTGGCAGAGGAGGCAATGTTTTAGGAGCGAGCACGAGACGTGGCAGCAGAGGAAGGGGTCGAGGCAGCACTATTCGCAGCCAGAGGCCAGTGCTCCCTCATCCAGCGGTCGTGTCTCCACCGACAACCCTGCCGTCACTCGATTGGTTGGCTCGGTCGTCTTCCCTTCCCAGGACACCTCTGACACCTACAGCCAACCGGGTCGGTGGGTACGTCAGACACAACCGTTAGTTGGCATGGCCCGGGATCAAGCCCACAGGAAATCACGTGTCCTCTAACGCCCCTGTCCTTTGGTGTTTCCCTCACCAAGGAAGTATCGCATGCTGGTGGGCTCAGCCCCACTGACAATGTTGAGGCCTCCAATAGCTAAACAGAGGGCGGTCAGGAAACACTCTGCCATGTCCCACCTTCAGTCTAGCACACAGGCGAAGAATTTTGGCGAGGAGAGTGGCAGATTTAGCTCCCGGCCTCCTAGAGACAGGTCTGTCTCCAGGACCCAGACCGCTTCCTCCGAGGGGCTAGTAGTGAGGCATGAGACCCCTACTTTGATGAATGGTCCCCCTAGGCTGATCGCACTTCGCAGCCTCGTCGCCATCAGGTGCCACTTTGCTCTCCGCACATCATCTGGAGAAGAGGGTGGCAGAGTGGGCAGTTTGCGACAACATGCAGTCGGTGGGTTGTGCCCAGGGGAACAGCTGCAGGTACGCAGCTTTGGCCAGGCCCCTAATCTGCCATAAGTGAAGCTAGTGTACACGTGGCCTCATGCTGCTGGCCTAGGGGAGTAGAGCACGGCCTCCACTCATGCCATACCCCTGTACGGCCCTCCCAGGGGTGCCGCTGTGTCACATCGCCAGCACTCTCATGTGCACCTTTGGAAGGAGACTCACCTCACACACAAAGTGTGTAGAATTTTCGGGGGGGGGTAGGGTGCTGGCAGATTACCGGGCCTCCCATGGAAGGAGCGGGGAGCCATGAATACGCCCTAATCTGCCATGGCCCCACAATACCAAAGCACTCCCATGAAGTGCTTGCCAGGTCCAAGTCTGGGATCAAGTCCCTGTACGGCCTCCACATTGCTGCTGTCTCCATCGCCACACTCTGCCATGTGCCACTTTCAGGTCCTCCACACACTGCTGGTGTGTTCATTTTTTGACATAGGGTGCTGGCAGATTACGGCCCTCCATAGCTGCTGGGCCAGGCCCCTAATCTGCCATAGGCCCCTATATACCGCCTCCTCATGCTGCTGCCAAGGTCCATAGTCTCTCATGGGTCCCTGTACGGCCATCCCATTGCTGCTGTCTCCAATCGCCACACTCTGCCATGTGCCACTTTCAGGTCTCCTCACACACTGCTGGTGTGTAGAATTTTTTGACATAGGGGTCGCTGGCAGATTACGGGCCTCCCATAGCTGCTGCCAAGGCCCCTAAACTGCCATTGTAGGCCCCTATATACCACCACGCCTCATGTCAATGCTGCCGAAGTCCAGAGTCTCTCATGGGTTCCCAGTACGGCCTCCCAGTCTGCTTGTCTCCATCGCCACACTCTGCCATGTGCCACTTTCAGGTCTCCTCACACACTGCTGGGTGTGTTCAAGAATTTTTTGACATAGGGTGCTGGCAGATTACGTAAAAATGGCCCTCGACATAGCGCTGCCAGGCCCCTAATCTGCCATAGGCCCCTATATACCCGCCTCCTCATGCTGCTGCCCAGGGTCCAGAGTCCTCTCATGGTCCCTGTACGGCCTCCCATTGCTGCTGTCTCCATCGCCACACTCTGCCATGTGCCACTTTCAGGTCTCCTCACACACTGCTGGTGTGTTCAGTTTTTTGACATAGGGTGCTGGCAGATTACGGGCCTCCCATAGCTGCTGCCAGGCCCCTAATCTGCCCATGGGCCCCCATATACCTGATACCGCCCCTTCAGTGCTGCGGTCCCAGGTCCCCACAGTGTCTCATGCCATGTGCCACTTTCAGGTCTCCTCACACTGCTGGTGTGTTGAATTTTTGACATAGGGTGCTGGCAGATTATGGGCCTCCCTATAGCTGCCCCAGAATCCGCGTCATGGGCCTGTAAACGGCACTCCGCATTGCTCGTCTGCTGACCATCGCCACACACTCTGCCAAGTGCCACTCGCATGCTCCTCACACACACACACTAATTAATACAAATAACCTCACTGTTGTAAATCAGTTTGTGACAATAAGGTGCGTCCAGATTATGGGCCCCTCGCCATACTGCTGCCAGGCCCCTAAACTGCCAAAGGCCCCTATATACCGCCCTCATTGCTGCTGCCAAGTCCAGGAGTCTGTCATGGTCCCGTACGGTCATCCCATTGCTGCTGGTCTCCATCGCCAACCACTTCTGCTGCATGTGCCCACTTCAGGTCTCTTAACACTGATGTGGTGTGTTAAATTTTTTGACATAAGGGTGCAGGCAGATTACGGGGCCTTCACATTAGCTGGCCGAGGCCCATAATCTGCCGCATGGGGACCCTATTATTACCGCCTTCCTCCTGCTGCGCCAGGTCCAGAGTCTCTCATGGGTCCCTGTGACGGCTCCATTGCTGCTGTCTCCATCGCCACCACTCTGCTGCCATGTGCACTTTCAGGTTCTTTCACACTGCTGGTGTTGTTTTTTTTGACATAGGGTGCTGGCAGATTAAAGGGCCTCCCCTAGTGCTGCCAGGCCCCTAATCTGCCATAGGCCCTATATTTCCGCCTCCTCATGCTGCTGCCAGGTCCAGAGTCTTCATGGGTCCCTGTACGGCCTCCATTGCTGCTTGTCTCCATCGCCACACTTTTGCCATGTGCCACTTTCAGGTCTCCTCACACACTGCTGGTGTGTTTAGTTTTTTGACATAGGGTGTGCAGATTTGGGCCTCCCATAGTGCTGCCAGGCCCCCAAAATTTCCAAAAGGCCCC